CGAACCTTGACGACCCAACTTGAGAGTCCCAAGAAAATTTCAAAGTTTACGAAGTGTCAAACTTAGACTTATGAGCGCCTGAATTTCAAAAAATTGAGACTTGAAGAGCTCTCATTTTCCAATGATAAGTCTCGAAGCAAAGTGAAATTTATATTTATAATTTTAATATTTTTATGAAAAAATCTGGGCAATTATTACGCGGTCCGTACCAGGCGGTAAAGAGTACTTTGATATTCTCAACAGTTCGTTTCGGCGTACACCGAGTTCAATTGCCTCATGAAGGCCATAATTCGTTCCCTCACTCGAGGCTGATTGCCATCGTAGGCCCGTTATAAACAAAACTCCATTCCTCAACTGGGTCAGCCCGTGGATTTCCGTGTGAATGGATCTAATCTATTTTACATCAACTTCCGTCCCCTCCGCCCACCGGAAGTACCTTCTCTGGGCTTGCCTTTTTATTATTTCTTCTGCTGTCTAATTGGTTTGCTTCCCTTTTTGCCGAGTGTACTCCGGGGTGCACGTTTCAAGGGGTTAATCCAAGGAAAGGGAGTCGACGGTAGTCGACGTTGGTAATCCTCGGGATTACTGACCCTACTCCCGCCCCGGAAGCAAAAGGACACGAAACTTTTCTCTCTTCCTGGTATCACTTTCTTGGTACACTGTTTAAAAAAATTGATAAGCTCCATCCAAAAATTCACTGTCATGAAAATTAGGAGAAGTGATTTTTTTCGAGGATTCAGTTACTTCAGAGAAGTATGTACTTTTCAAACTGTCATTTCTCCAATTGAATAATTCCCAAGTGATTCCCATTAGGTTCCGATAATAATCTTCATATAGCTTTGGAGCATGATTATACGAAAAAATAATAAAAAGTGTTAGATAAACTTCACCGATTATTCATGTTCTTTAAATACCGAATTCTCTTCGGAGAAGAAATGGAGGAATTCGTTAACACTGATAATTATTGATTGAGTTTATCCAAGGTCATGACCACTTTATTATTAGTCGACTCACATACAGCTGACTCACCTGAAGAAATAATATCTTCATGAAAATACATATATATTTCCCTCAAGTAAATGAATACTTTCAAAAGATTTTTTGTCAGTGCAGATGCTTTTATATGATCATTTTTTTCGAATGTACAGAGGTAAATATTTGATAATAATTATGTCTTTTTTTCGATAATCCTCGTATGTATTTTTATTAATATTGATTAATTTATTGAAATTGATGGTGTACTGGAACAATTTATAATATTTTTTAATGAAATTTGCTGAACTTCAGTCAAAATTTTTCAACAGTGTACCTCTTCTGGGGAATTACACGAATCCTCTTGCGCGTCATTTTCTGGGACATTCACCCACTTGACCGATTTTTTTTTATCTCCCGGTCAATCACCCGGGGTGGCAGCAATCAACTCGATGAACCGAAAATTGGGGCTCTGTCTGTTTATTTCACGTTCGGGTTCACTCGTGGGGGAGTGGTTGGTCAGTTTATTGGGCGATTTAGGGCCATTCGGATGTTACAAGTGAAAACAATGGGATATCCTCCGAGGAGGTATCTAATTGGTTATTCAACGCGCGGAATCCCGATTTTTAATTACAAAATTATTTATTGTTATTTGTTCTTCATTCTTCATCTTGTGCTTCATTTTCGGCATTTTTTGCGACTCTTTAGTTGAGGTTTAGGTAGAAATTATTGATTCGATAATGTCCTAGTTGGCAACAGACCCAAGTCTAGTCTTATTTCTATCAAGGATATTTAAAGATTTATAAAATCATCGCAAGCTCTACATTCAGTGGAAGTTAAAGGAATTGTGAATCAACAGAATAAATGATCAATCGCGCTGAATTTTTATATATCTATCGGATCTTTTCGGATCTCCATAAATGTTTATGAAATAATTGAACCAAAATTGTGTCCATTGTAGTCTATTATAAATTATCTATTAATAATCTATTATAATCTATATAAATTTTTATAAAATTAGATGATGAAAATTATAGAAAAAATATACGAAATAATTTTCGAGTAGAAAGTTGTAAAAAAATATCAGCTGTTGCCTGTCAGAGTATATAAATTAATCGATCAACAGTACTGAACCGACGATTGATCAGAAATTCAACGGAATGTTCCTATTGATATCAGCGACCATGAAAATTTATCCCAGATACTCCTCCAAATTGAGCACTTGTATATCGCCAATAAAATTAACCGCAGCTGGCAATAATCAATGATAATAAAAATAGTAAAACTCAGAGTATTGTGTTTCGGAATTTTGAATCTATCTAAAAAACAAAACTTTGTCAAATTATTAAGATGAATAGAAACCCCCATTTGCAGATTAATTCCACAAAAATTAACAATATTGTTAATTAATAAAATGAACATTACATTCCATCTCAGTAAAATTCTTGAATTTGAAAGGACATATGTCTTTATCCGTATAATATTTCTTGAAAGTCCGTAGCATATCAGAGATAAAAAAAATGATATTTCAATATTTTTATAATTGTGAAAAAAATCTATAAAATAAATATTCTAATTGTTGCCAAAAATGTCAATTTTCACTGCATCCATTCTGTTTTATTATAAAATCATTACAAAAATTTCTCCTGCCGCGCGAATTTGACCATAAATTCTGAAAATAACCGGCGAACAGAGGGAAGTTAACTGACCTCATGATCGCGTCCCTGGAAAAATCTCCGAAATGAAAGGAGAAACTCAAATCATCGTGAGAGCATTTTTTTGTGGAGCAAATCGAGCGAATCGAGACTATAAAAAAAATACTACAAAAATTTCGCCGTCCCCGGAATTTCGGAGATATTCCCAGATATTCGGCCAAAAAGTTTACCTCGTGTTAGCACTTCAGTACACAATGGTTCCTCGTGTTATTTTGAATTGAAAATTTATATCAATTGTGACGAATGTCGTTCTCCCGATTTCTCTTTTTTAGTTTTACAAAAACATGACGTGTGCCCCGCACCAAAATCCAATCCTCTACCTTCCATCAACAACAATATGATATTATAAAATAATAATAAATAATTTACATTTCACACTTCAATTATTTCCATCATATTAAAAACTCTGATCATAATAATCCTTGGGTATTTTTCAATTTTCTCAAAATGATGTAAAATTAAAAATTGAGCGACATTAAATACATATACCATATACTACAGTGTATATAACACAGGATATATACTACGTGTGTATGGTACATGGGTAGATAGTGCAAGGTAGATTTGAAAAGACGTAGTTACACTGAATGAAAAAAATGGAAAATGGGAAATAAAAATAGAATCACTGAAACGGCGAGAATGTCGGCGTGCCGACACACCGAAAAGCCAAGTTGGTCGCTCGGGCTCCCGACCCCTACTGAGGCACCACAACCCCCGATTTCTCCCCGCCTCGGATATTTCGCGCCAACCCCACCTCTTTCACTCATTCGGGGTAATACTCCGACGTTAGAATCGTGCGCATCGTCTTGAATTGCCTATAACGTCATAATGCACTGTTAGTACGCGACACTCGTTTATCCGGAACACGATTCTCCACTAGAGAATGCACAGACAACCGGCGTCATTGTGCCCCTCCCAATTACTCATTCCACCTTCGATTGACTATTTTTTAACCACCTCTCTTGACAGCATACGTGATACCCTCATGTAAACATCACGTGTTATGTTATTTGCCATTAAATTCACGTGAAACTTGCGCCGTCGGATGGGTCGAAGACCCTCATCCTGGGGGCATTCACTCCCTGACCCACTACCCTTAATAAAAATAAAAGAGGGAGGATTTCAACGGAAACTTTGCGAATTCCTCGAGTTGTTGCGGATTCTTTTTATTCCAGGAACTCCTCTTTACTATTTACGTCAACTTTTTATTTTCACCGGTGATTTTATTGACATTTACGGGACCAACAGTGTTTTCGAGAATATTATTATCGAAAAAATTGGGCTTGTGGTTGTTTTTATCAGGCATGCGGCGTTTATTTTTGAGTTTTCGCTCGTTGTGCGGATGCAGTTTTTGTAATTAATTTTATTAGCAATCAGTTTTCAACCATTGACATTCACTTTGTGAAAAAAAAATTCTCTGGATAATCATAAAAATCTTCTGATTTCTTCATAAAAATTGTTAAATTATTATTTGACTGATAGGATAAATCTGGAACATCAATCATTGATAGGGCAAATACCGCAATGCACTAGCCAAGTGGCAAATGAAGTGGCGATAAATGGACTCGTCTCTCCCTCGAGTTTTGAGGAATATTTATAAATCCAATGACGATAGCGTAATTTTTGTAATAACATTTGTTGTAGCACTCAATAAATTCCCCAAAAAAGGTTACAATAAAAACCATCCCATCTTCTTTCTACTCCGAGATATTCCTTGAAAGCTTGTCAATAGTCAAAATGGACTCATATCCCCGTAACGACTTCACCGCTGAATTGACAATATTATCAATAAATTTTTTAACGGGGATATGTGACGCGGGTTGATATAAGACGCCCCAGAATTTTGGCTTGACTACGAAATAGCGCGGGTGGATGATCCAACTTCACATCTATATATCCGTGACACCCGGGGTTAATCATACATCGGCCAAAAACCCCGTTCATGTGCACATAACGTTAAAATACATAAGCACCGGTGTAAATACACATTGAGCGGACATATGGAGTACAGCCCGTATCGACCTACGCGACGACCCGTATTGCACTCGTGTGTACGCTTATTTTTCGGTGTGTGCATGTGTAACAACATAATCTAGCCGACGCAGTGCCTGCGGTTGTGCGCGACCGCTGTACGGGCACTAGGTTATTCGGCCGATGTTCCTATCGTACGCCCCCGACCCGCCGCCGCCCGACCGCCACCACTTCTTTATCATGGGCAATCTACCATCTGCCGCCCTTAGACACCGGGTATTTATGCGCGAGATTTTGCAACGCCCGGCCTCTATTATTAGCTGTGATCTCTCAATCTTCTTCACGGTCTCTTTCGACGGAGTTGGGTCGAACGATACTCCGAGATATCGATAAATACCCTAACTACTATTTTCCACATTTTTCGTGGAAATTCCGGGATTTATTGATGTTCTGTTGAAAATTTCGGTAATTTCCACCGATTTATGGCCAAAGAAATGGTATTGAGTTATTCAGGAGTTATAGAGATCGCTTACAACTTTAGTCTTGATTTGAGATTCTAGAAATGAATATTTTAATCTTGCCACTTGACTTCAATATTTGGAAGTCGAAAGATGAAATTTTTCTTCAATTTAAGTTTTTCGAAATGTGAAGTTTGGAATGAAATTCGGATTGAGAAATACTCAAATGGTGACAAGCAGACACTTTGGGACTTTCAAACTGAGTCTCATAGAAGTCGAGAGTACTTTCAATATCTCCAATTCGATATTCGAGATTACTCTAACATGAAGTTTGATTTTCGTTGAAAAAACTCGAGAAAACCAGACTGCAATATGTAATAATAATAAAAAATGGCTTTCGCTCGTAAAATAGTAAATATCAATGAAGAATTCACCACCAGGTCTCGGGTACGTTTGACTGTCGTAATTTCGCAACCGAATGAAGGGACCGGCGCACGTTCACTGACAGGCGCGCGACACGCGACTGACGGTCTCGCGATTTTTCACCGCGCCTGACTGCTCGTTAAGTGAAAAAAAAAAAAAAAGTATGTGGGTTTACATGAGGTGCGTTCCATGACAGAAACACCCGGCGATTGTTCTCCCCATTGTCGTAAGCCCCTCGATCGCTCGTTGAATCCAGATGAGCCATCGAGGCGAATACTTCCGGCGTCTCTCCATGTGTATTAATATACCGATGTCTCTAAATATAATTATCTAGTTCTGCAAATGACATGCTCACCCGATATCATCGGCCCCATTATTCATCCCGTGCCCGATACCCGACGTTTCTAGTCGTGCGATATCACAAGCCGATAAGGTAACTCCCGCACTCTCTCACTCTAATCCGCCAACTTTATTTTCCTTCGTGCGCGATATCTACCCGTTATCGACCAGCGAAAAGGAGAGAGTGAGGCAATTGCCTGCGGGCTGTCAGTACTTCAATCATTACTTCCCAATCAGTCGTCATTCCAATTTAAACTTTTATCGAGGTCTCTACACACAGGAAAATATTCAATAAAAATTGTGGAACCGTCCTTCGCTTAGCGATGACGGAAGTGACTAAAATAATTTACATGGTGGTATCTTAATTATTCACGGAAAATTCAGACAAAACCGATTCAGACCTTTTCTTCGAATTTCTAACTACCGTCAGTTTACGAATTTTTAATAGTTTTTTTTTGCCCACTAAATTGCTCCCGAATTTTTCTGTCAACTCTCGCCCACCGGAACACAGAAAAAATCCATTTTTACGGCTGAAAAAAAAATGAATTCCTTCTTCAAACCCCTTAAAATTGCGCGCACAATAGTTTCCATAGAATGTACGTTAAGCTTGTCGCTTTCGTTTCAAAAGTATTTTCCAAGCCATTTTCCGGTACTTCTCCCCTGGGGTCGTGTAAAGCAATCAACACGAAGGGATGAAAGTTGCGGGTGAAAAGCCACAGCACAAATGCCATCCGTGCTCCCTTAATTATTATCGTAATTAGACGACGAGATTTAACTGCCAGACTCACTCGTCAGGTCGACGAACACGCGTTTCCCTGAATAAGGGGAATGCCACCTCTTGCGTTGAGGTGTGACGTAACGGAAGTCGTTAATATGTTAATTATTTAAAACGAAAGCAACGTGTCGTCTCCCAATTGGGAACATGACTCTCATTTGCATGTTTTTATGTTTCTTCGTGGGACCATTTTTATGGGGTGATGGTGTAGGGGGGCAAGAGGGTTTCGTGTAAGAAGTCATTTGCATTGGCTAGTTATCAGGTGGAATCGAGATTTTAGATGTTTACTGCGCCGTAGTTTGTTTATAAAAAAATGTTTTACTTGAAAAATTAATTATCTAGCATTCTACCATTATTAAAAAATTAATTCAACTTCACAGATTATCTTCCTTTTTATTGTAATTATTTCCTCATTTATTCTCGCTTTTCGATGGTGGTTATTATTATAATGATTATTGATTTATATTGATGAAAGTGACAAAAAAAGTGAGGGTTACATTTTTTCCGTATTTTTTTAAATTTATGAGAAAATACAGAATAAAATTAATCTAGTAGAAATAAGGAAAAAAAAATATTCTAACCAAATTTATTTCAATATTAGTCAGTACTATGCAAATATACAGTTTTTACTCCACCCGTCGTATTTTTTATTGCAAAATTAAAATTCGGAATTTTTTCGTTTGAGGTTGCAAGTATTCTAAAATTAGAGAATTATTACTGATTGTAAGTAATTTTTTTCTGTAAAGACAATTGCACTCAATTTATCCTGAGTGTTCACTGGATTCAAACCTTGTAAAGAAAGCTATTCAATAGTTTACCCCAGCCCCGGATTGAATTGCGACTCGCCGCATTCGATGCAAATTAATCCAATGGATGGAAAAGTTGATTCATTAATTGATTGTTTCTCGGTAACGGCTGTTACCCAACAAAGGACGATCCTGCGAGCGGCGTTTAATGGCTCATTAGCTGGGGATGCATAACTTATTCGGAATTGTACACTGGCGGGACGATTAATCTTTCGGGTTTCCATACATCCGAGAGTACTCACTAAATCCCCCATGATATTCATATTATCTTGTGTTGCCATTTTTCCTATCATCTGTAGAGTACTGACCCCGTCAATTACATATCTATAAAAAATTTCATTGCAACCAGAAAATAATCCACAATCGCGACGTGTGCGGGTTGTAACGAATTTCCCTGAAAAATTGAAATAATAAATTCACTAACCACAAACTAATGCTGGAAATCTGTCAAGGTGGCCCTGCTGTCAGATAAGGGCCACACCTGGTAAATATAAGGTGCGCCTTTCCGTTTTACCAGGTGAACACCTGATCAGAACCCTGATCAGTTACTATCAGGCTTATCTGCTGATATGACGTGACGTAATAATATGTTACATTGAGCTTTTGCCAGATATGATTGCTTTTGCCTAATATATTTTCTTGTGGTTAGTTAATATTCTTGGCGAAAGAATTTTTTTTTCTCATTGCATTGGGTGATTGGCTGATCCAAGCTAATTTTATATGAATTATAATAATTATATGCTTTCGAGAGGAAAGGGCAGTAGAAGGTTTCGTACTTCTACCCACGCTCAAAAATTTTTTAACTCCATGTCTAGATGTTAAATTTATTGAATGTATCAGGTATGAGTCAGTTCTTAGATAAGAGTAAAGAAAAGTCAACAATCGCGTCATACCGACGAAATGAATTCAAAGTCACGAAATACGCTATAAAATACGCTCACTACACCGAACAATCATTATCTCAATTATTTTCTTCTTTGAGAAATGAATTCATTGAACGACATCAATTAGTCATTCATTTAAAACAATGTCTACATTATTACTCAATATACTTTATGAATTATGATTATTATAATAATAATCATTAGTCCATTAATTGTAAATTATCAATTGCTTCATTTGATGGAAATAAGTTTGAGCTTCAGATCGAAAGAATCTACTTAAACCTTCACACACTTTTATTTTTTGAAAAAATATTTGACGCCAAGTGTTAGGTACTCATTATTTAATTAAATACACCGAAAAGGAGGGATTGAAATACTATTTAGATTATTGCTCCGTATATTTG